CTGGGGGTGTTTAAACCAACCTTTTATAATTTTTATACATGGCATTTGTGGTGAAACAGTACTATTTATCATACAGACCTCGGACAGAATGCGGTATTTCACAATTGCACGCAGTCAATCAGGACGATCAATCGTGGGCTTTAAGCGAAACCGATCAAAAATTTCCAAAATCACCCATACGGCCAGCTGGTCGTATGGGTGATTTTGGAAAGTTTTGATCGGTTTCTCGCTTTTTAAAGTTCTGTAAGCTTATATCAAACATGATACTGACTCAAATCCTACAAACGTGCATAAACTTGCCGCATAAACTCTCAGCGTGAACTGTGCAAGACTTCATGAAATTAGATATAACAAAAACAAACATCAAATACAATAATTACTCAGGCTTACCATTCGAGATTCAGTTCCTGAAAGCTATCAAGGAAGGCCACAGTTGCTTGAGTCTTTTTAAACCCTCTTACGCATTAAGCAAGGTGAAAAACGAAAACGATGCCTTCCGAAATCGAATTACCGAATTTTGACAAGCGACGCATTTCTCAGCCAAAAATGTACCCAGTAAACAAACCAGCCATGAATAACAGAAGACTCTTGATAGCAGCTGTATTTCATTTTGTACATCCAGAAGAAAAAGACAGTTAAAAACATCACAAGTTGGCACAAAACTCTGTCAGCTTCAGCTGTCAAAGTAAACAACTTTCAAGATGCTGCATAATTTTTCCGCATGAACTCACCTGTCAAATTTTGACCAATCAGAGTATAAAAATTGGACGTAGAGCGTGACCAACGCGTGACCATGGTAAGATAAGGTCTTCCCAGCCTGTACTTTTAAAAAAACTGGCTGAATTTTCGCTTCCGAGGTCAGTTTGAAATCAAAATCCTAATAGTGCGGGGCCATAGTGACATAAACACAACATGTTTGATATGAATCCTTGGAAAAAATAAACTTGAGCCTGCGATCATTTGAAACTGGTAATTTGTCAGCGGATAACTTCAAAAAATACTCGACCTCGATGGGTCGACACTTGAGCCTGCGGTACGGTCAGGTGATACTGGTCAGCGGATGCCCTGTTTTGATAGCTGTCAATTGATCACAACATTGATGTACAATTAGTTTTCTCTTGGGCTCCCAAACTAGGTAAATGTGTGAGAGTAAACATTGGTTTTCCTGTGGTGCGGACGGACGGTCGGTCGGCGGTCGGTGTACGGTCACGTGATTACCAAATTTTCTGGGATGAGTAGATTTACTTAGCCATGGGGCTCCGCCCACGCGCGCGCGTCGCGCGCGCGTGGAGCTCCGCTAAAAATATATTTATGTGAGAAAAATACAGCAGTTATCCGCTGACCACCACGCAGGGTGACCACTTTGTAAGTTGTGAGAACATCATTTCTCGGCACGAGAATGTAGATTGAGGGATATTGTGAAAAGTAGACGCGCGAGAGGAGACGCGAAAACGGGGGGCGGCGTAGCCTCCCACGCAGGCCTTTTTAGGGGAGGCTCGTATTTCGTCTCTCCCCTCGTAAATTTTCATTTCCACCCCGGAAACCCCTTGGCATTGTAAAGCGTGAAAATTACGTGCCGCAGATTAGAAAGGTTACAGTCGCCTGTCAAGTTTAGAAGGCCGAGGGCGCGTGGAATTTATTTATTTATTCCATCGCTTTCGCAACAGCTTTCCACTGCATGAAAGCAATGTTTTTTACCACTGCTATGTTTTTTTATCCACTGGACATCGAACTTCAACGTAACGTGTCTGCTCGGATAAGAACTCAATACTTTGATTCTAGTACCGTTTACACTTGAAAAGTCGTCCACATTCAGAAAACTGAGCTTCCCGTCGCAATCAACATTATATATTTGTCCGTTCCTGAACTAGAGAACAGCCTGTTCATGGACTTGGTTCTCTTACGTTTTACTGCAGCTGCTTCCTACTCTTTCTGCTGTCCTTCTTGATGGTCAACTGCTAATTGTTCGTCAGGTACGCTGTCATGTACACGTTTTTGAATTTTTCTACCCAGTGGAATTCAGTCGGGCGAAGAAACCGATGTTGGCAGGCAGCGCTTGAACCAGGCGCTTGAATCTCTCTTGACTTTCACTCTTCTCGTTTTCAGAACTAAACAAGGCTCTTGACGCAAACGAAAAGACAACTAATAAAGGGTTCTGATTTTCCTTCCGCAAGAACTACAAACTCGGTCCGAATTATCCTCGGCTCGCAATATCCTATTGGTCCCGTCTCACAGCACTTACACTTATCTGGTTCTTGTGAGACGTAAAAGAACCCACACCACTGTTCGAAAAGAGTAGGGGACGTAGGCCCCGGTGTTGTGGTCACACCACATCGTTCACATCATGGGTTGGGTGGGTACAGTAAGCCCATAAATGGACTGAGAGCGGCTGTCAGTGGCGCCTTTGTGTGCTGATGTCCGAGCTTACCGTTCAAATATTAAAATGTATTGTAAGAGGGCACGTCTATTGTCTTCTCATCCACGACTCTTCATTTCATTCATTTCATTTCAACACTTTCACTCGTACAGCTCTGCGAGAGTCGCATCAAACGAGCCCGTCTGCTTTAAGGGCTGAAACAAGTTCTCGGTTTCAATATGATCCCTTGAGAACCAAATTTGACACACAGACGACAGTTATCTCTCACAGAAGGAGAAAGCGATTTTCGTCCTCTACTAGCCTGCGCGGGCGACAAAACCGCCATGCTACGCAGGCTGGTCCTCTGCCGGTCTTCTTTTCTTGGTGAGTTCAGTGATCGCCGACATAACACGGGTCTTGGCGATAAGAGCATCGTGTTTCTACATTTGCCGCGAAAATTTAGGGCAGGCCAGCTGGGTCTGTTATCAATCAACTTTGATTTCAGGAACGTCATTTTTCAGCCAATCGAGATTTTTGGCGACGGGACTTCCAAATAACCTCGCCTCTTGAAAGAACGTAGCCGTCCTGGGTACGAACGATACGATACTTACAATACACATGACTTCTTTCGATCAATACTGGATGATTGTTGATCAACCTGACTTGATCGGTAAAACATAAAGGCCGGAAACTTTCAGAGTGTTTCTTGATCTGTTTGCCTTCTTAGCTCCATTCGAGGTTTCCCTGATGCTAGCGAAGTTGCGAAAATCAAGTTTTAACGAGAACATAGGTGAATTTTGTTCTATTATTATTATCATTATTATTATTTTATGGCGCTGTAGATTACTTGGATATATTTCGAATTCAGGCATATGCGATTAAGTGCGCTAAGAGAGCAATTTTTGGTGTAGATGTTCTTTCGACTTTCGACTCTAGTTTAATTATTTTAGTTATTAAAATTAAGGTTCTTGAATTGGAGAGTGGATCTTTCAACCATGAGTCGCATTTTAAGTAAAGCACTTTCGATGATTGGAGGAAATGATAAAAACCGCATGCAGCGTTCAAGTTAAATAATTATTGCCTGAGCCTTTCCCGGTAGCACCGCACTTTATCTTTTTAACTAGTGATTTAGAAAGCCATAAAAAGAACTCTACAATGGAAGCCTGTAAGAACCTATGGTCTGTTCGGAAATAACTCACTTAGCATATCGAACGCAATCTTTAATCTATGATTGCCCCTAGTAATAAAGATGAGGGAAAAAGTGGAAGAACGGAAGTTTCCGTTAACTCAACGAGCGCTAAATAAGGACACTTTCACGGAAGTGCTTCTTTCAGAGGGATCTTCAAATAATTGATTTTTTTTACTGAGTGCTAGAAGTTACGTGCCGATTGAATTTAAATTTGTTTCAAAGAAAAAAGAGCAAGATAACACAAACAGATTTGTGATTATCTTAATCGTCTTTAAATTTCTCTCATGGATAGTTGCTCTCCTTGAAAATAATGCGTTATAATGAAAGGTTGCCAAAAAGATACGTACTTCAGATACTTCCAAAAGTTTTTCCCATAAAACAACAAATCGAGATTCCTGTAAAGTCATTAGGTACCGTCATATTTATTATCTCAAAAATTATGGTTATTATGTAGATACTCTCAGTGTTCAACTGGTAGACTGTTCTCGATATTAGTCACATCCCGCAACCTTGGGTCTCGAGAACCCGTCTGCGGATTTCTAAAAGCGTTCCTAATGAGGCAGTCGTTTGAACCTGAGCCACATAATAAATCCTTTTGGGATCGTCCCAAGCGCCAGCAAAACAATAGAAACAATTCTTGTCTTGACTTTACTAAGTTTTGTCTCTTCTCTGCCAGATCTTGTTATCTATAGATTTTCTCTTTGTCTCACCCTGGTATCTCATGGTACAGCTTTATCAATAATTTGTCAAGCTGTTATTTTCCTAACACGACCAGGTCAGAATTCTGGCACTTTCCCAGAAACAAGTCAGTCTTCTGGATTAGATTGATATCGAGTATTTTTCCAGTCCCCTCTTAGTGACCCCATAAGCCTTTTTGGACTATTTCAACTTTCGCCAATAACAATAGGTATCAATGTTGTTTTCACATTCCATTATTTCTGATCTCCTTAGCAGAATCCGTGTACATTTCAATGATAACTTCTCCTTTTCTTTGCTCTCGTCTATAGCATCTCCAGGTATCATTTGAAAGTGGCTATATCAACTGGGTGGAGTGTTTAGGCAGTTACCTGCGTGCCCCATTCTTGCGTTCCAGATTTAACAAGCTCAGATTTTGATTTACAGCCTGTCAATAATATATTTTGCAGGTTTTCAAACCGCCAAATTTTCAGAGGACGTTATTATTATTATTATTATTATTATTATTATTATTATTATTTCAAGTTATTTTATTTTTTGCGATCTTGTCCTTACAACTTCAATGAACGTCCAAATTATCGCATTTTGCCAAGTATTTTATCCAATACTTGCCCTTTTTGTGTTCTCTTTAATAGAGAAAACATTTCGTGAGCAGTTATTAATATTTAGCGTGTCAAAGTTCAGTTCAATACTTGCATCTTTGGCTCGGATAATTTACAGCGGACCCTGTGTTTTTTCACTTATGCGCATTTGCCCAGAAGCTGATAATGATCTACGTAGGTCTGACTTCAAAATCTTGTCCTTTCATTTTTCTTGGTGCTGAGACCCGCTGAATATTTGAGCTTCAAGAAAAAGTCGCTATTTTCCCTCCTTTTTGCCCTGTTGGTTGGGTCTTATGTTTTTAAGTGATGAGTCAATTCCAAGATCAGACAGTCTCAAAGACGTGTCAGTACGTAGTCCAAGGAAACTTATAAGGGAGCTAATTCATACTGTCGTCCAATACACAATTAATACCAACGATGGCAGTAGCAGCAGCAGTAACCGTGGCGGAATTAGCAGCTGAGACAGCAGCAGAAGCTGCCGCTGAGACGGTGGCAGGTAAAAGACTTCCTTAATTTTTGTGGTTACATTATCCACTGTATTATCGACTTGCTGTTATTATTAAGTGGTGTAAGAAGTACTTAAAATATTGGAACAGAAATGAGGATAAGACCGCGGTAGATGTTTAATCGGTCCAAAATAATATATAACGGAATTTTCAATCAACTTTAAGAATTTTACTTTCGCAGATATTGTTTTCCACTAAATGTCTTTGTTAGAGTTTTGCTGTATATTGTACTTGCGTGAGGATTTTGCTTATAGATTTTAAAACTTATTTTAGCTAATTTTTACCCTTTCACTCCAATAACAGCAATAAGTTGCCAAAGCCAAAACTCGGGAAAATTTCTAAATTTGATTTCGTAAATTGATGAAAAACAAAATGATAATCATACTAAGCAAAAGTCATTTAAGAGAGGATCAAATTTGATTGGGCACACCAAAAGATTTCGTCCACACAAACACCGCCTTCAAGACTCGCCACTCACTCTGGAACAAGGGTTAACAAGTCAATTATTAAGTTCGTAGTTTCCTTTTTCTAAATTCGTCCCCTTAAATACGCTTTACATATGAAATATCCTTATTATTAAGAGTATTATTGCTTTTTGTAGGGTTATCCCTGGCTCCATTGAAATGTAACCGTTTGTAAAAAAATTCTATCAGTTCACCCGGAGGTGGCTGCACCTTAATTCCAGGACAGTGAAACTTGGTGTACATTCGACGCCTTTGTTGGGTCTTTGCTCGACTCAAATTCTCAGGTCTTAACGGTGTGACGTTGCAGTCGCTCACTAGATTTAAAACAAAGTACTGTTATGCCCAGACATGTTCATTCTTGAGACTAAATTCGATTTTTCTATGGAATGGAGCATTCATCAAATTGTAAAGTCAAAATAGCGAGGTTTTCCGAATTCTTATTTACACTAAGTTAAAGATAAACAAAAAGTAAATCTTTGTACAAGTTTTTATTACCGTGGCATGTTTCATTTCGAAAATACCGCAATTTGAACTTCTGTACCGAACTTGTGGGGCACAAAATAGTTCGCTTAAATCATAAATCCTTCTTTTATTAAAATCACCATCCCCTCGCACATTTCCTCTCCGACCGATCTCAACAAAAGGTAAATTTGCACTATTCTCTTTTTCAGCTACTCCGATTTCAAATGTCAATCAAAAAAGGATAACACTAATACGATACTAAGACAGTCACATCCGGTTAAAATGAGTGTCGCGGCATTTCCGGTCACGTTTGGTTCACTTCCGAGTTTTCATAGTGCGTGACACCAAAATAGGAATGCTGTCTCGTTGAAAAAACGTCCCTCGGCCTCCTCTTGATTTTCAGCAGTATAACCATTTCAAGTATTAGAAGATATGTTTATGCGCACGCATGTTAGTTCCGAGTGAAAAGAAAGAGCTTTTATATAAAAAGTGAACTTCAGATGTTTGTGTTGATTTCCGGTGGACATATTGGTGCTTGCACCAATATGGCGTCTCCATACAAAGCTCTACAAAGGTGCGTGAAACGTTTCGGCAAATAACTCAGAAACTGTGGGCCACAAAGACCTGAGACTTGAACAAATTGTTCATATATTAGTTTTTTATAACATTTCATTTTCTTGGCTTCTTCCACCGAACGGTTTCCAATTTAATTTTTCGTTGCGTGACAGTGAAAACGATCTATATCACATCAAGATCAGAAATAGTGGGATTGTCAGCAAAAGGAAAAAAAATCGTTTTAACTTTTATATCAAGCCAATCGCTACTGCTAAATCAGCAGTTGGATGGCAGACACTCGAATATATTTATGATATTCTAATGACTGATGGAGTTAAAGCAAAACAGGACAAAAAAAAGCTGAAAATAGAACAATGATGAGTTTTTACTCGCTATGCTTCGCCTTTAAATTGGACTCTATCTCTTTCGAAGAGCGCAGACTATGAGGCATTAGAAACTTATACGCTCGACATTTCTTGTGTGGAAGTGAGCATAGAATTGTATTGTGTTCTTGCTTACCTTCCCTACAGACAAAAAAACTTCAATGACTCCACCGAGGACGACCTTTGATAAAATTCTATTATGTTATGCAAAAACAGCAAGATTTTATTAAACTTGATCTTTTTCACTTAAAGGATGGGGTACTTCGCAGCAAAACGTAAATTTTGAATTTCATGTATACAACGAAAGTATTCCAAGACGAGAAAGGCCCTTGAAGATTGCTTTCTTCTAAGGAATAATACTGTAGTTTGGCGGTTATTCCGTTTATTCATATTTTCCCTGTGTATTGATGATACAGGGTCAAGTACAAAAAAGTACTTAACAAAAAACTAACCGGACGTTTCCGAGAAGATCTTTTAAGAAAGCTAGGATTTTCCAGGAAAGTTGAGACAACAAGACGGCTTTCATTCTCCCGAGATATTTTAATCGGACTGTCTTTCTCTTGGCTATTGTAGTTGGTCATTTTTACTGATTTCCTTGTTTCTTTCTTTATTTTTTTCTAGATTCTATAATATGCGTTGTTCTTTTGACTGATTATTACTAGTGAAAGAATTCTTTTATTGTTGTTGTTTGTTTGTTTGTTTCTTGCTAAGAACGCATAAGGTACCCTTTTTACACATAACCATCAAGGAATACCAGCTGCAACCAGGGGCGTAGTGTACGCAGGTAGAAGCCAAAGTAGACTTGATACACTTTATATAAATTCCGGAAAATATCAGACAGTTGGCAAACGTTGTGTAATTTTTGCCGATTTACTTGAGAGATTCTATTCTATAACGACTGTGGATGAGTTTTCATTTACTTTAATGTTAGTATTATCATTATCATTGTTTATTTATTTATTTATTTTTTGTCATGACTTAATTTAAAATACTGAACTGTGTCAAGTGGTATCGTGTTACTAGAAATGATCGCATCTGAAACGCAAGGTATGTATTTGCGAAAGCGTTCTTTAGTGTTATATACTGCGTATTTTTTATTTCAAATATATCTGTAAATTATGTACATATTTTCAAAGTGAAATGAACAACTCATTTTTCATTATTATTATTATTATTATTATTATTATTATTATTATTATCATTATTCAGTATTATTCAGTATTATCATCATTATCATTATCACCATCATTATCATTATTTTTAATATTATGAAATTATTATTATCATTATTATTATTACTATTATTATTATTATAGTCATTTTACGATAATTCTCTTATGTACACAAGAAGAATGTACATAGGGTATATATTTTAATATTTCATATTCTTGGTTAGAATGAGGTAGAGGTCTATTTGATGAAGAGTATCTTTCGCAGGATATAAGATGTTCCTCATATTGTAATCTTCTGTTGCTCATGTATTAATTTTCAATTGATATTACCCTGGATCTGTTGGATATATTTCTCCAACCCTTTCTTTATTAGTCCCAGGGCTCCTATCACTGCTTGAGCTATTTCGGCTTTCGCCCCCCACATTTGCTCAATCTCAAGTTCAAGGTCTTTACTGATTCTGACAGTTTTTCAGTTAGTTCAACGGAAGTGTTCTTTCCTGTGGGGATGGACATCTCAATGAGTGGTTAGCTTTTTTCCTATTTGTTCTTGAATTCTTCTTCTTCTTCTTCTTCTTCTTCTTCTTATTATTATTATTATTATTATTATTATCAGTAGTAATAAAATCATTATCATCATCATGATCATTGTCATTATTATTATTATTATTACATAGTTTATGATTTTACAAGAGATGGACTGGATGATTTACTTACGGATTTTTCATACTGGTGCTAATGAACGATTTAAAAGATCAAGTAAGGTTTTCATTCGCCGTTCGTCAGACATTGTTGGGTGAAGTGAGAGAAAAAGTGAGCATATCTATCTTTCCGACATGTTTTGAGATTTTTCCCTTAAGTATCCGTAAGTATCATAACTCACTTCATAAGTCCAATCAAGTTCACAAATTATATTATCATTTTTCTAAGATCAAGCGATTATAACGATTGATTTTGACTCCTCCAGAACTGATTTTTATCAGGTTACACACTTTGGACTCGAAAAGCCGAACGTTTTTCAAAAGAAAGGTTTTGCTAACAGGATCAAAGAAGTTAACCTGAGAAACTAAGGGTGAATAAATATTTTCTATTTTTCTTTTTGCATCCTTTTTGATTCTCTGTAGAAACAGCAGCAGAAACTGTTGCCGAAACGGTAGCCGAAAGTACAGCAGAAACAGCAGCTGAAACGGCGGCCGAAACAGCGGCTGAAACAGCAGCTGAAACGGCGGCCGAAGAAGCAGCTGGGGTAAGATAAGTATACACACAGTAGTAGGTATGATGAGATTTTTTTATCAATTGTAAGCCTCTTAGAGGCGATTACCAAACTTAGAAAATAATGTGTTCTTCATGAAAAATTGCGCGCGTGGGGTATTTATGCACGGGTTTGTTGAATTATTGAATACCGTAGAAATTAAAGTACTTTCCTTGTGTTATTAGGAACTTAGACATTCATCATTCTGCCAAAGTCTTCAAATTTGTTCAAAATACGTAAATAATTAAATCTGCCACTAAACATCGGAAAAGAAAAAACGACGTTTTAAACTTTTAATCTGAGAACTGGTAGCGAAAATTACAGTGATGGTACGATATGAGGTGATAAGTGAATCACAAGGAATCTTAACTTTTTGTTCTAAACTTTCAAAGCAAGAAATGAGTTGAGAAAACATTTGATAATTGGATAGGAATAAAATATTTTGCAATTTCCCTTTTAATTTGACTCATTTGACTTTAAATTTAACACTGTGGAAAAATAAACGGGAGCTTCAACAGTCATTTTCATGGCGTAATGTGAAAATACTAAAGGTTGTATGATTATGGGCGTTGCTGGTCATGTGACCTTAAGAGGCACAGTGTGAGCTCCAAAAATTGATCCAATCTTAAGCACATCTGTTTAAGTAAAAAATGAAAGGAGGTGGCAGACAAAACAAGAAAAAATGATAAAAGCCCAAAATCACTCAAGTTCTTACGCGAGACGACACTCACATAGCTTTCCAGTGAGTATATGTTAGCATGTTTCTAACTTGATCTTTTATAGTTCATAATTACTCCCTCTTTAATGAACAAGAAAATAATCTAGTAAAAAAAAACGTATCAAACGTACAGTGTATGTCAGTTTTCTTGCGTAATTACTTATCAAGGTCATGATTTTATATCTCTAGGAAAGTGCAATGAGCGGCGTTATTGGGAAAGTAATCAAAGTAACGGCCATCGTAGGTATTGGCCTTGCAGTCAACTCTCTCATTCACTGCATAAAGGCCAAGACAGGAGCCGGAATGGAAAAGTCCCCTTTGGACCCAGATACAAAGAGCAGTCTTGAAAAAGTTCAGAATGCCTTGGACAAAATTACCGGTAAATAGCTTCGTTGGCTCAAATCCCTCAGCTAATTCAGCTAAGTGTTGACCATTTTTGGAAGATGCGAGCTATAATTATACCGTCAATAAGATAGCATACCGACTCGCAATATTAATTAAATCTTATTTCTGTATATTCTCCTGTAATCTAAGGCTGTTTTCAAACTATACCAGATGCTTTTGTGCCTGCACAAAAACCAAACCGTAGAGGGCTTTTTCCTTCGCATATAAGAACGGTTATTTCGGCGCGATTTCTGTAACCGAGCGAATCTTCACTGGGCCTCGCCGATCTCTGAAATGGAGTCACATATTGGATAGATGTTCATACTATACAAGAGGGCCTTTCGTGACGTCACGAATAGTTATCCAGTATAGTGTGAACATAGCCTAAAAGTAATACTTGCATTTAAGGGGCCCTTTTCATGACGACGAATTCCTAAATCCACAATCACATTGTCCAACCATGCCAGCTATATAATAGAGAATGATGATTATCACCTGCTGGGGTCTCATTAGACATAAGGCAACATGATAGGATGAGGGTTGATAATTGATAATCCGTTTTAAGATTCATAAACATTAAACATGTCTCAGCGGACTATTACTCGCACCATATTGAAATCGGTAATCGATGGTAAATCATAAGTACACCATTCCGGTGCATGCCCAATTGGATTATTTCAGGTCCAATATCTCCGAAGTTTGAGCATTCAATACGTCTCCATTAACGGAGATAACAAAGATATGGAAAAATAATTGCCAAAGATTTATCAGAAAAAGAGATGGAAATTTGTTATGAGCAATGTTATGTTGACATCGGAGTTGTCAAAGCAACGAAATGACGTCACTTTCCATTTCACTTGCAGCCCTGTTTCTCGGCACTGAAAGTCTCCCTTTTTCATAATTGATCAGGGAAGCTTGTTCCTCCATACCTGCCCCAATGTTCGTGAAGTTTGAGCGAGACCTATGAAAGCTTTTTCGAGGTATTTTGGGATGAAATTTTTATGGTTAGAGATATAGTAAAAACTGGACAATCTTGATGTCTGAATTTTTTCAGGCTTTCTTTTCGCAGCTGCATGAGCCGCCTATTTAACTGCATGTGATGATCTTCTTTGCATTTAAAACTTGTTAAGGCAAAATTCGACATGCAGACAATATTCATGATACTTCCCTGAAACGTAGGGGTTTAGCGAAATAATCTGACCAGAATATCTAAGTACAGTTTTGCAATCATTGTTTGAAGCAATCATGGGAAGATGGAACAAAACACTCCAGGGTTTATCCAAGGATGTTGACTTTGGAACGACTGCAGTGCAAGTGAAAGGACAGGAACAGTGTGTCAAGGTCAGCAGTTTGTTCTGGGGAATCTTGAATAACATCAAGAAGGTACAGTCAATAATGTCTTGTTGTTCTGTTTGTAAAAAGTTTAAAACACAAAAGTAGTAAGTTAAATAGCCATATTCTTATTTTCCTAGGATCTTGGAGATGCTTGTAAGATCTCCTCTGAGTGCTCAGAGAACTGCCAATGGAAAGCAAACCTGGAGGTGTTTACTTTACACATTGTGAACTCTGTCACAGGAATGCTGGCGATTTGTGACCTGCGAAAGAGGAACCAACGTCTTCAGAAGTTTGGGTAAGCCGTGTGACTAAAACTGATCTACTTTAAAGGTTGGATATGATGGTGCAGTTCATTGTAGTCCTCCAGTCCTCCATTATTGACTGTGACTTATAAATTTTCCCATATACCATAATTTATAACTTATAAATTTTCCAATATATCATAATTTATTGTGAGGAAGTCACATTTGAGGGTCAAATGGTAGTCCTTGTAAAACAGAAAATACACCATACCAAAATAACTATCTTGCCCAACAGTGGGTCTAATTAGCAAAAAAACAACTTTGCACTTACGGCACACTTTTTTGTGCATTTATTTGCCGTTGTTTTGCACGACTAATAATTATATAACAATTACTCATAACAATTATTCGCGCCTCCGTAAATACCACCACTAGGCACCGACACGGAGGGAAATAATTGTTTTTAAAAATTAGTATATACTAAGACAGTGAGATAATTGAGCTAAAAATGATGATTTCTAACTGATTGATTGCTGCCAACGATTACAATTTTGGCGGGCATGTGATCCATCCGGTGGCGATCACGTTTTCTTGCCGATACATATAAAAACTTTCGAAGGCATTAGTTTAGCTGTTGCGGAGACATTTCTTAAAAAAAATTGTCAATTTTTTCTGTATTTGAAATCATTCTGAAAAGAAAAATTCATTTAGTTATTTGCCAACTTGTCAGCTTATTAAAGTAACGCAAGACTTAATTTGCATTTGTAAACAAGAAAATTTTTCACCGGTTTAACCGATAAATTCAGGTTAAACAGACAAAGCTTTACCTGTAAAAACTGCCAAACCGGACTTTGTCGCCTTCTTCGTGTTTTTCGGGAACAGCTGTTTCGTTTATTTGTGAAATGTCTTCGTTTGATGCGGCAGTAAACCGAGAAGCCATTTTGTTAGTAACTTACGCGAGTTTGACGTCGCTCGGAACCTGGAGATGAATCAGTGAATGGCACTAGATATCTCGAGTTTGAGTAGCCAACCAGAGCGCGCGAAAAAACATTATCGACCGTTTTAGTATACGCTAAGTAGATTTAGCCAGGGCTAAAAGCGAAGCTCTCCTTACTATACTTACAATTTACTCACACAAAAAATAAAATCGTGTAGTGCTTAACGCGAAGGCAACGAGAACGACAAAAAAAAAAAAAGAAAAACGAACACAGTTGAAACAAACAAACAAACAAAAAGAAAAAGCTATAGGTCTAAAGGTGATGTTACATGGGACGATTTGCAACGACGATTTTTAGCGCAACACAGGGTTCAAATGTTGGAACAATATTGCAGCCATTCGAAACAATGTAACAACAACGTTGTAACGCTGTGTTGCGCTAAAAATCATCGTTGCGAATCGTCCCAGGTAACAACACCTTAGCGAGTATAAAAAGAGCTTTGCACGTGCAGCACACTTTTTTGGACATTTCTTTGCCGTTGTTGTTGCACAACTACAACGTGGAGCTTTCTAGTTACACGTTTTATGGAAGAAATGTCGCATGTTCAAACAAAATTTTGTTGGTTGTGTTTCTGTTTGCTTCTTCCTTTTTCACTGTCACTCATTTTTACTTTACTCCCGCTAATATTTCTCATTTTCTCACCACAGCTTTAAAATTTTCATGTTTTGTTGCTAACGAAGTTCGTCTCCTTTGGTTTTTTTGGGTTTTTTTGTTTTTGTTTTTTTGTTTTATTTTTTTTTTAGTTTTGTTTTTTTGTTTTGTTTTGTTTTTTTTTATCTCTTGCTCTAGCTCTTTCTCTTTGAGCCATGTCAACGTCCGGCAAAAAAAATTTAGTCGAGAAAGAGGCTTTTTTCTCTCTCCCTCTCTCTCCCTGGATCTCTCCCCCTCCTCCTCTCTCTCTCTCTCTCTCTTAAAGTCTGGGTGGCCAAGAGGACCATAACATGGACGTCTATCATCAAGTTAAACACAGGTTGCAGGCTCCACACAAAGTTAAAAACAGGTCAATTCACATTGGTAACCCTGTGATGCGGACGGACGGGCGGACGGTTGCGTGACTACCAAAATTTCTCGGATGCATGAATACCCATATTTTCTTAGTAGACACACTGAATTCGTCTACTCAGTGTATATTTTTGCTGGTCAGGTCTTTTATAGATCCTACGTTTTGCGGCATATTCTTTTGCGGTCCTTTGCAGTTTAAATGCCAAATTTTCTTCCCCATTTTGCTCCCCCACAACGTGACACTTCCTAGCAACGCATTTTATGGAGGAAATGTCGCATGTATTTCTGTTGGCCTTTTTTTTTTTTCTTTTTTTTTTACTGCCCTTCAATTTCACTTCGGTGGCCGCAAGAATTTCTCATTTTCTCACCGCCGCTATAAAAAAGACTCCGCTTTGTTGTTTTGTTGTTGTTACTTTCTCTCTAATAACCCTAGTGGCCATGCGATTTACAGCCGAAATGGGCGCGTGCTTGAAATGCAAAATTTCACCCACATGAAGGGTGGAACTACGGACGTACGTATGGACCATTTTGTCAGAACTAAAATTTATTGGATGTATAGATAACCAAGTTTTCTTACCCATAGTGCTCTGCTATAAATGTTTTGTTTGTTAGGATACCCTCAGAAGGCGATTTACGAGCCCTTCGAGACATTTTGGATGCTGATTTTCCTGCCTGGAAAGAGTATATTAAAGCACAAGTAAAAAGAAATCTTGATAAAGAGTTGGCCAAAGAGATAAAAGCCAACGTAAAGAATGCTGTTCTCCCAATTGTTAAGAAGCCTATAAAGGAGGTAGGACACTTTTCCTTTCTCGCCATGTAAGTGTAGAATGTTAAAAGGGTGAGTCAACAGGTGGATGGTTTTTTTCGCAATAATATTCTGAATGGGGGTGAAGTGGGAGCATATAAATTTCGTAGAAAAACTCTCACATAAACAGGGATCCATTTAATATAATCATAATCGTAATCATAATCATAACTGTAGTAAAATTGTTAAATCTGATTGGCTATCAACTGCCCCGATTTCAGCCTTAATTGGATAGTTTAATAGGACAGTACGCGTCATGCCTAAGTAATTGGACAGTACGTGCCATCACGCGCCCGCTTAAATGGCTTTTTTTTTTCACTGCTAGCAAAACAAAATTTCGAATTTCTTGTGTTTTGATTTAAAAAATAGCCTATTATATCACAAATTTTGTTCAAGTTATGATTAATTGGTAAGAGAACTTCGTGTCGTCCAATTCGGTCTGTAATCATACTCGTGATTAAACAAATCGGACTTCCGCTACGCGGTCGTCCGATTTTGTTAATCACTCGTATGATTACAGTCCGGCTTACCGGACGTTTCGTACCCACGGACGTTTCGTACCCAGACGATTCGTACCCAAAGTTGAGATGATTCGTACCCAACGCTAAGATGATTCGTACCCAAAGCTTAGATGCTTCGTACCCAAAGCTTAGATGATTCATACCCATGTAATAACCAAGTCTTCATGTTGTAAACAGTGTGTTTTCATAGTTTAAGTTAAAGCTTTCACTAATCTGAAGTCTCACCTCCTCTAGTATCGGCGCCGCTCACGCGTCACGAGTCTACACAAAGAAAGTGAGCGGTGGTTAATTTCATCTAACTCGTGTGAGAGCGAACGAGTTAACAAAATGGATCGCGTGAAAGCGCATGAACTAACAAAAGTTTATGATTCGACAAGTTCAGACATCGACATATAAATTGGACCCAGCCGTGAAAAGTGGGAACAAGCTAATTTCGTGTAAGTACCATTTCCTTTTGAGTTGTATGTTAATGAAGAGTCTCACCTCCTTTAGTATCTGCGCCGCTCATGCGTCACGAGTCTACGCAAATGAAAGTGAGCGGTGGTTATAATTTGATCTAACTCGCGCGTAGGTAACGAGTCGTTCTGATTTATATAAATGTTTATTTTAGATTGTTTTGAGAGAGATATGATTAAAAATGTGTTACTATCAAAACGGCAGTTGGTTACGAATCAACTCAGCTTTGGGTAGGAATCATCTTAGCGTTGGGTACGAATCATCTCAACTTTGGGTACGAATCGTCTGAGTACGAAACGTCCGTGGGTACGAAACGTCCGGATTCCACAGTCCGAATTGGACTCCACTCAGTCCTGTTACCATTACTACTACTACTACTACTACTACTACTACTACTACTACTACTACTACTACTACTACTACTACTACTACTACTACTACTACTACTACTACTACTACTACTACTACTACTACTACTACTACTACTACTACTACTACTACTACTACTACTACTACTACTACTACTACTACTACTACTACTACTACTACTACTACTACTACTACTACTACTACTACTACTACTACTACTTATTTACTTATATAGCACTATATCCATAAAATAATACCCTACACTGCTCGGGTAATAGATCCGTTGTATGATTCCAGCTTATCAGAATGTAGATCCATATTTGACGGCTTCAAATCTGTTAATTGTGATAAGTTGTCTTCACTGGAGAAGGTCCTCTCTGATGATAGTGACCTTACTTTCGAAGAACTTGACGAATCGATCCGCCAATACCTCAACAGTACTGCGGCCATGTGGAAATTGTTTCTCAGTAGATCCACTATTAAGACTCTGAACAATCCTAAACAGTTCTTTCCGATCTGTGGCACAAGAGCCAATCAGCTCGGAGTAGTAAATTTTCTTTGCACTGGATATAAGATTGTTCACCATAATTGACTTCTGAGCGCAGGCCTCCCTATCAACAGTCAAACCAGTTGTCCTCCACCTTCTATCACAGCGCCTAGGCTCAAACCTCTGCTCACGAATTTCCGGGGTTAGCCACAGAGCAGCGGGGCGCAAGATAACAACCTTCGTCTTAAGTGGAGCATGCTCATCAAGTATTTAGCCAAGTGTGCTCTCATAACTAGCAACAAAGTCATCAACTGGCGAGTCTGGTATTACTTTTAATAATCCTGAGTCTTCAATCAGTATTGACCGAGCTATATCAATGCCCCTAGCTAGTTTTACGAAAAGATGACTGTTTCCTAGGAAAGGAAGGTTTTGTAATCAGAAGTTTACAATTAACGGCAAAATCTCGGGATCCAGCACCCATGGTTTCTGTACCAATCTATTTTCAGATCTCGTAATTATTAAATCCAGGGTGTGGTCCCTCTTGTGTGTAGCAACATTAGTGTGTTGCGTAAAGTCAAATGAGTTGAGAATCTGGCTGAACTTAAAACCGGGCTGATTATTCTGATCATCAACGTGACAGTTAAAGTCTCCAGCTAAAACCAGCTCCAAGCAGCCTCGATTTGGCGATAGAAGTTCCAACAGGGCAGTAAAACTCACTATAAAAGATCTCATTAGTCAGCTTGTTTGCCTTTGAAGGCGGTTGGACGATATAATACGATCATACGGAGCAATTTCGCGTGCGATTTCAGCGAAATGTCCATATGTTCAAAAGACACAAACTTCTCTTGTGTATTTGTAGTAACTTTCAGTGAAGCCTTGAAAATGATGAATACACCTCATTTTCACTAGCCTGCGAAAACATCCGTTTCTCCTCGCTCTTCGTCGCTGGGGACGTTTCGTGCGGAGGAAGGTCTGCGACTCAGCGACAGAAACTCCATACTGATGACGTAAAATCTGTCCGGAATCCGGTCAGAAGCGCTGATTGGTCGACGGAGTAGCTATTTTGTTTTAGCTATTGTTCACGAATGACAGGCAAAAGACGAAAGGCCAAAAAGGTCAAATGTAAACGAGAAGAATCTCTAACAAAACAGTCAATATTTGTGGAATATAGCCTTCTCTAGAAGAAGCATTTGAGTTTTACTGGAGTTTGTTGGCAGATGGACACAACACTTTACCAAAATCGACCAGAAGACACGAAAAATTGGACAAATTTATATTTGGAACCCCATGACTACCAGATTTATTATGTAAACATTGATTTGCGTCATCAGTATGGAATTTCTGCCGCTGAGTCGCAGACGTTCCTCCGCGCGAAACGTCCACAGCGGCGAAGAGTGAGGAGAAACGGATGTTTTCGCAGGCTACATTTTCACTCAAAAATGGCTTGTTAGCTGCTACTTGTGACGTCATATCTCGAGCCATAGTCAACCATCACTAAACTTGTCTCAAAATTCGCGCGAAGGATAAACGAACAGCTACAGAAAACTTCAAGTGCTGATGTTTTATCTATATTAATTTTACTCTCGATAACTCGAACCATGTTTTGAGCCCTTAAAAAGTCGAAAGAAAAAAACAGTGTACTGGCGTCCGAAACATTGAATTTTGAATTTCCCATTGACGTGTTCTAGGCATATAGTTTACTAGTGGAGGCTTTGTCACAAATCTAAAGTGAAACAACTTTACTTCTCAAAACAGTAGATCGCATCAGTGGCGGATCCAGACCTTCAGATAACAGGGGGGGGGGGGGTCATCCAGACCCTGAGATAAGTTTGGGGGGGGTGGTCTCAAAAAAATTTTTTTCGGCCCTTTGGACCTCAGTTTGGTCTAAAGAAAGGGGGGCCCGGCAACCCCGGGCCCCTCGCCTGGATCCACCACTGCGCATGCTCTATTTAGGCAATGTTTTGTTACGTTAAGTTCTGATTTATAATCTAAAAGTATCTTCTCTGATCTTTCAGTTGTCACTTAACCTTTTTACAATTAAATGAGTGATGAAAATGTTCTCTGTGCAGTAAAAACTGTTTTTGTCGACCTCCCGATAACTCGAACTTTTTTCGATTTCCCTTGCCGAGTTATCAGGAGTCGACTGTAGTTACATAGGGTTTAGTTTAAAATCCTTTAATGTTTATAAATTCACCTTGCATGCACCAGTCTTGTTTTCGCGCAAAAGCCAACATCCTCCCTAGGAAGTCTAGGAAAGTCTCTGAAAAAAGTGTCAATTTCATCTTCCAGCAAGTACTTGCGAAAGCAAAAGGTGAAATTCTTCCCGGTATCATTAATGATGCTAAGGCAAGCGGCAAGAGTGCGGCCAAGAGGGTGTTCGATGATCGCCGAGGTCACATCATGGCGACAGGCTGTATTCCATTCTATGGCTGGGTCAAGGCTCCAATGCTTATCGCTGATGCTAAGAGAGACGCTATCAACAATGCTAAACATGCTGCGGAAGAAACAGTCAACAGCGAATTTCACTCCGCTGCTGTTAAGGTATGCTGACAGAACCTAATAGACTCTAATTGGAACTGTAATTTGTTTACCAACGAAACACTTATGTTCTTAAAGAACGTCCAGATTGAATTGGAATTTGGAAGTTTTGTTTTTTTTTTTAAGGAGAGGGAAAAACCGGCAAGGGTTTTGTCGACTCTCTCTTAACGGACACCTAGAGTTGGTCCCTGCCTTAATTTTGTTTTACTCCCTTCAATTTACTCTCTTTAAAGACGGACATCATTGTTACGGTAGACGGAAATTAGTGCCCGTCCCAAGGGTGTGCGTCTTAAAGAGAGTTCAATGTATCCGGAATAAGACCTTTCAGAGCAAGGGAGAGGACCAAGAACAAACGCAACTCACATATGGCGTCCACGCCAGGATTTGAGTCCGGGCTACATTGATGGGAGGCAAGTGCCTTCACGACTAAGCCTTCCCTGACGTCTTCCTTGTTCCCTTTTACTAAAGTTAACAAAAGATGATCGTGGTTACTAATTGAAATATTTACTGATTCCCTTTACTTCTCGATTGGGTTAGATTTTAGTTGCTTTAAGAAACAAACACGATGAGGATCATGAATAAGATGATAATGATCGCGCGTTATAGGTGATAGTATTAAACATTTGGTTTATTTATGATATTGATGTATATCAAACGCCACCGACAAGCGCCTGTCTACCGAGCGGGAGCCCGCTGGTTCAAATCCCGGCCGCACCCAACACTCACGGTCTTTAAATAACTGAGCGGGAAAAAAAAAAAAAAGAATAAATAAAATCAATAAAATAAATACAAAATGAATCAAAATTGATTTTGTTAGCTTTGAATATGAAATCACGCCAACTCGCGTTTTCCTTTAGGTGCTCCAGAATAAACACTGTTACTTGACCGAACATTAGAGAAGATGTTCTAGACTGACGGTGTGCGTAAAGAATAATAACGCATTTTAAAAAGAGCTAGGATTTTTTAGCTAATACAACCCATAATCTGCACTTCTCCAATAATTAATTTTTAATAAGCTTTTGGTACTGTACTGTAGTATGGCAATCTTGGTACTCCTTAAAAGTAGTGTCTAAAAATTAATATTATGCATTCTTTTTCAGAATCAAATGAAGGAAATCTCTACTAAAGTCTCATCTTCAGTGTTTGCTCAACACAAGAGTCAAGTGAACAAAGCAATAAAAAAGGCTGTGGAAGACACAATGGAAACTCAAAAGCCTATTAATGAGCAGTTCGTCTCTGAGTTTAGTGAGTAAAATAGTATTGTAAAATTCCGAGACAAAAAAAGTACAAAGTAAGTCCCGCAAGAAAAAAGTTCTCTCGGCCGTATGATAAATACTTTGTTTAACAACCTTGTTCGGTCAATATGGTTAGTAATTGCCGTGGCTTCCTTGTTGTTGCTATGTTGTCGTGTTTTGTTGTTGTTTTTTTTTTTCTTTGCGTTTTCTTAACTTCGACTTCGTTCATAACAAGGTAAACATAAAAAGGGGAAAAGATCCAGTCCTCTTGACCTAACGTTTGGACTGAGCACAAGGGGCGTGGCTAACTGTATGCCAAAACAAGATTGTGTTCCTGAAAAATGTTAAAGGTTGATAAATATGTAGAAAATTAAAAATGGAAAGAAACTTTAAACTGAGCTAAATATTAAACAATTGCCGAATAGTGACTATGTAACTCTGTTTTGAATGCTGTGTTTTTTCCGACTTTGCAAACACACTATGGTGACGTAACTGCTGCATGTAGAACACGCGGTACGGTTCTACAATGGAGAGAGATAATTACGTCTGCACACCGATGACGAATGCAAATTTAATCAAGTGAGTTATCTTCCTGGCAACTATTTGGATAATTGCAGGGCCAAGGGATGTTTGTGCGTATGTCTGGGAAAATTTTGGCCTCGCCTACGTGCTCTACTCTACAGCCGATAAAATCTCAGATAATGTCAACGAAAAGAATTTTTAATTGCAGGTGTCTAAATCACTGTAAGTGTGCATGTTCGTTACAGTTACAAAGGTTGAAAGAAAACTATTCCTTCGGCAACTATGCCGAAAGCTCGTGCAGACCATTTTTAGTGTAAGGTTGTTTGAAGCCACCAGCTAGTTCTGCTGAACAAGAACAAAAATGTCATACCCTGTATTTGCAGCTAGTTGCTAGATATATTTTTGCGTGCCAGATTCTAAGATAAACTAGAGACGTCTCAAAAAAAGGCAAGCGAATATTAGATGCGCGTGCTTAGGGCCCAGGGGGAAGGAGGCGGTTATTTAAGTGAGTGGTTTCGCAATCTTAAATAAATGATCAATAGTGATGCTAGTTTTCTTTGGTTACTGTTCAAGGTGTTTTTTATGCGTTTCAATGGCTTTATTTTGAATTCTTTCATTCGCGAAATAAATTTGAACTTGCTTCTTGACGCGCGAACTGATCATATGTAGAGCTTGGTAGAATGGCTTTTATTGAAAACTGAATCATTAGATAACTCTATTCTAGAGCTCTGATTGGCTTAGCCATCATGGTATATGAGCCATTATACCATGCCCTCTAAATATGGTAACAGTACGCGTCTGCTCAAAATTCAAAACAAGCTGTCAATCGGTTGTTTTTACACTCCCGCTTGTTGGATATGAGATATCATATCCAACGCGCACTCGTAGAAGAATTGTTAAATATACTCTATAAGCCAATCAAAACCCTGAAACTGCACTAGATAAAGATTCAGTTTTAGATAAAATTGTATAATTTTCTTTTTTCATTGTCTACATTCACAGTTAATCAGTTGATGACGTAAAACTCTTTTGCTGATTTGTTTTTTTTCTTTCAGTGTGAAAGATGGAACAGTTTGCTGTTACAAACGTGACGTTTGGGATGGCAGTAAAACCCACATACAAACAATTCTTCAACTTTTTAATTACTTTTGTTGTTGGCTCACCTTAGTTCTAATATTAACCTTTAAGAAATGGCTGCAAAATAATTTCT